TGTTTCCTCCCTAGACTTTTAAACAAGCCAAGGCCACCCACTCTCCAGAAACACAAAGGCTCTTTTGTGGTCAGCGTCTAGCACCAGACCAGCCCCTCTTTGGTGCCAACTATTTTCCCTTTCAGTTTGTCCTGTTCTCAACCTTGGCTTTAGTTTTTCTTTTCTTTTTTTAATTTTTCCTTTCTGGCCTTCATCTGCCGTTTAGACTTCATTAGTAAATAGAATTCCCCTGATTTGACCTTTGATTTCTTTGTTTTAGTTATTTTCTCATCACTGAGAAACTATACCCAACACTCACAACTCTAAGGAAGAAAGGTTTATTTTGGCTCACAGTTTATAGAGGTGTCAGTACATAGTCTGCTGGTTCTAAGGCAGAATGGCATGGCTGAGGGGCATGGCAGAGGAGAAACAGCTCACAGCATAGCAGCAGGAAGCAAAGAGAGATCAAGGGAGGAGAGAGACCCTTCCAGTGAACCACCTTCTCCCATCAAGCTTCATCCTCCAAATCACATTTAATTGTAGACTCATCTGTAGAGTAATCCATTGATGAGCGTCATACCTCTATGATCCAATCACCTCCGAAAGCCCCACTTATGATCACATGAAGCTTTTTAGGGGACATCCAGATATAAACCATAACACCTTCTAAAGACGTTAGCTCCTATTCCCTGCTGTATTTGCATTCTCAGATGCATACATAGAATACATTTAGCTAAGAGCTCCTGGTACATTTAACTAGCACCTTGGGGTGGTAATGCATGTGAATATGTTTGTGTGTGTGCATGTGTATGTGTGTGTGTGTGTGTGCACACCTGCATATGTACATGTGAGTGTACATGTTGGAAAGAAGACAGAAAGATATCAAACTGCCTGAGTTTGAACCTTGGCTTTTCCATTTACTACATGCATGACTTGGGAAATGTTATGTAACTTCTAATGTTCCTCAGTTTCCTCATCTATAATCTACAAATCTCTAAAATATTTTTAAAACGTTTGCACAATACTATTTTTCTGTGGATACAAATTCTATTTATTATATATTTCCAGTTGTTACCCAACTGACTCTCTCCCCTTTCGTGATAAGAGTGTAGTTCTTGACTTCTTTGTAAGGTCATGAAAGGTAAGACCTTCTTTGTAAGGTCTCTGAAAGGTCATGAGATTAATTTTGGCCAATAAATTGTGAGCAGAGTGACATATGTCATTTGACTGCTGAAGTGGTATCTTCTAGAACTTTGTTTTCCTTTGCCATAAAAAAAAATAACATGTTGCAACTATTGTCCTTCTGGGTCCTAAAGTGAGGGTTATGTGAAGCAGAACCCCCACCACTGAGACTTGGGGATTATTTGTTACAGCACAACCCAGCTTGAACTGACACAGCTGTCATGAAGTCAGATATAATTCATTTAAAAAAACTCTCATTGGGCTGGGGATTTAGCTCAGTGGCAAAGCGCCTGCATGGCAAGTGCAAGGTCATGAGTTCGGTTCCTGGTACCGGAGAAAATCCAAAAAAAAAAAAAAACAACCTCTCATTATGGAGTCCAGCACTTCAAAAACATCAGTTATTAGACATTAGTTATTACTGTTTGTCTGACTCTTTGTCATTATTCGTGTGGATAGGGATGTGTGTATATGTGTGTGTTTTGTTGCTACACCAAACTTTTGAATAACCTTCTACTCTTCGCACTTGAGAGTGAAGTGTCACTTGGATCTAAATGCTCAGGACAGTATACAACTAGTCTTTTGACCTGAAAAATTCACAAAATGTTGCTCTAACATTAGCATCCCTCATGGCTATGGTGAATATGCCCCAAACACTTTAACAAGCAAGTCATATTATAAATGACTTTCCCAAAGTAGGCTAAAGTGGAAGTTGAGCCAGAGATGGTTCCTTTGGCTACAGCTGAGAGACAGAGAAGCTGTATTGGATCATCTTTTCCTACAGTCTGAATGATTTTTGGTCCGCAGGGACCATAGAAAACCTCCAATTAATTATTACTGGAGAACATGAAATCATAAACAAAATTCCTTGTAATAAATTTTTCAAATGAGATCGCATGTTTTATTTACAGTACTGGCCCATTTTGGGCTTTAAATCTATGAACAAAAACAAACATGCTTTTTTATCAAACAGACGGAGAAAAAGTACTCAACAACCTTCCTTTCTCTCCTTGCCAAGTGGGGCACGTGCTCTGTGCTAGACAGGAAGTCAGACCCAAACTCTGTTGGCTGGAAGAGTAAATTCACTCATTTTGCTTTGCAAAGGACGATTTAAACACTAATGATCTTTTGTGGGGGAGGCAGGGAAGAAAAACGGAAAATAAAGAGTCTTACTAAGGTTCACATGCTTTATTTCTGAATTTAGCATGGCACCTGAGTAGCAAATAGAACACACGCAAAGTGAAATTTTCTATAACTAAAACAGTTGCCATTAAGCATGTTTCTATGGCTAAAAGTCAGAAATTCTTTCGATCTGAGCTTTCTGCAGGGAAAGTGAAAAATGTAGACAATATATTATGGTTCAGGGCCTCCTTTGCCCATTGTCTACCTATAGCCTAGAAAGATCATTTCCAGTCCTTCTTTAAACTCACACCAGTTTCTCAGCCTCTGATCTGATGGGTTTAGAAGTGATATTACCAAAGTGTCCATAGAGATCTAATTTCTAGTAATTATTGACAATGAGACCGAGAATGCACATATACTGGAATAATGAAGTGATTTATGAAATGCTCAGCTAGATATCAGTTTGGGGCAAAAACCTTAGAGATAAGTTGTTTATTCCAGGATATGGTGTAAGCATGAAACAAGCAGTGATATATTGTGCAATATCCCTATATTAGTTTCTTGTGACTGCTGTAAAAACAATGCTATAAATTTGGGATTTAAAAAGAGAGGGAATTATTGGCTTACAGTTCTGGAAACCTGAAGTTTATAACCATTATCTCTAGATTAAATATCTAAGCATTGCAGAGGATCTATGAATGAATCTATTTCTTATGTCTTCCATCTTCTGGTGGCTGTCAGCATTCCCTGGTTTGTGGTCACATCCTCCCAATTGCTGCTATCTCTTTCTCATTGCCTTCTCATCTTCCATCTATACTCTTCTGACTCTCGTGAGGAAACTTGTGATGACATTTAGGCTCACCTGCATAATCCAGAGCAATCTCATTATCTCAGGACTCTTAATCACAACTGAAAAGACAGTTTCTCTATATAAGGTAACATTTATAGTTTCAGGGAGAAGGAACATGGTATTTTGGAAGGTTGTTATTGAGTCATCTATGTTAGAGATCCTCTCCTGGAATCACCATCTGTGGAAAGGAAGCCTACTTTATGTCTTTTCCCCAGGCCAAGACAAGTCTAGTTCTATAAAAGCCCAAGAACCATGTATGACCCAGGCCCCCTGCCCATGGAAATTATGATTTTCATCTACACTACCTTAGTTTCTGCTTGGTTAGTCATCCTGGTGTCCAAGGAAAAAGAATTTCCACCAGGAAACACAACAAACATTTCATTAAACTTGAAATTGTAACTGGCACCAGGTCATTTTGAGTTCCCTATTCAAATGGAGGCACAGGTAAAGAAATGAGCTACACTGACACTTAGGCTGCTGCTGTGAAATGAGAGCAATATGAATGTGGCTAGAACTCAGGAGACTCATAGAGAGTAGAATTTGGTCCTTCCATACCCACTGGAAATGATGAATGAACGATTGCAGCATTCAAGACCTAACAAAAGCTACTAAATATTCAGACTGCTCAGAGATGACAATCTTAGCATCAATACATACAAGTAACTCTGAGCAGCTAAAGTGTTCACCAAAGGTGGAGAAAATCTAGGATGGATGGGAAAGAGACAGCTGCTAAAAGTTATTTTAAAACCCTGTGGCAATTGGATTTTATTCACTCAGTTCTCCTGTATTGTTTTTCAACAAGTTTGAATCTACAAACCACTTTGAAGACTCAGGTGACAGTGGAAGTAGTTACAGACATAAGTTTATCTCTGCCAAGAGTGTAAATAAAACTGAAAGACATGACTTTGGTTCCCATAGTGATGCTGTAGGTACCATGTAGGTCCTTGCATTACAACTGAAGCCCATTCCCCAGCTGCTAAGAATGCCATGTGCTGATACCTGCAGCTGAGACCCTCCCCTTGGAATCACCATCTGTGTAAGGGAAGCCTACTTTATGTCCTTCCCCTTGGCCAAGACAAGTCCAGTGACTGTTTGATTAGAAAGCACCAAGATGGACGTGCCTGTCGCTACTTAGAACACCTCTGAAGGACCACTTCAGTGCTACAGATTTTTCTAGCATTAGCCAAAGTTCTATTACTACTGTGTTAGCATTCAACTTCTCCCTCTGCCCAATTCTGTAATTAATTTAGACTTATTTTTCTCCATAATCATTCCAGCAAACCAATACGCTTCCTCCGTAAGCTTTGTCTTAAGTCAGGGATTAGCATCATCTCCTCCAAGACCACATCTGACTTCGGCCACAGCTTCTGTGGATATTTCCAGACAAGTTCAAGTTCACCTCCTACTGGCCAGACCCCTGAGTCCCCTGTTGAGCATCTTTTCACTCTCTGAGCCAGAACCCTTGAAAAGCCACCAGCCTTTACATTTCCACATACAAAACCTGGAAGTACAGAGTAGCTTATGACCTCTGGAAAGCAAACTCACCTGAGGGGATGTGCAAGTCAGGAGATAAGACTTCCAGCTTCCTGCACTTCAGGTGAGCTATGCACTTGTTTTAGATGCTACATAGAAACCTAGAGCAGACAGAGCCCATGAAGGCTGAAGGGATGGCCTCAATAACCTCATACTGACATTTCCTCCCTAATCTTTGCTTACTGAGTTTATCTCCTTATAACATCTGAAGCTAAGTCTTTATATCAGCTAAATGCTAGAGGAGAGACCATCATCAGCTAGACATCAGTTTCTATCTTCTATAGATGTATGTTTCCCATAGCAGAGAAATTTAGGCGTCTCACAAATTATCCTTAATATTATATCCTTTTGCTGTTTTCCACTGCTATGAACTGTCACCCTTCTTACTTGCCACCCTGCCTTGGAGCCAGCTGATCATGGGCTGAAACCTCCACAAACTGTGAGTGAAATAAACCTCTCTTTCCTTAATTTTGGTGGTCGAATATTTTGTCTCTACAATGAGAGAAAAGTAATTAAGATACTGGTTGTTGTTCTTCTCTGACACATGTTTCAGTAGAGATGTAGGCATTGACAAAGAGATCACAATATACTGTTGGCACTTAACAGGAAGCAGAGAGGTATCTGGATTATGAATCAGCTGTTTTCCATTGGTTCCCTGAGAAAGTAAGTGGGTTAGCCTCCAGGCAACTAATCAAAATTGCTAGCAGTTATTAAACAGTTACTATGTACCAAATACTGATTTTATATGGAATATTCAGTGTAATCTTCACAGTGTCCAGCCTTAGGAATTTGGTACTTATATAGCTAAAAATTCAGATGGAGTAATTGTGAGCTTTATAAACAAGATATCAGAGATTAAAAGCAGGCCAAGTAACTTTCCCCTCTGTAAGTGCTGGAGCTGGTAAAGTAACTAATGCAGTCTGGCTCCATGCCCAGCATTTGACCATGACGCTGGCTGGGTGAGGAGAGAGCGAGCTGTCTCGGAGTGTCTACATGCATGGGGAGGTTTTGAGCACAGTTTTCACATCATCCAAGTGTTCTGTCCACAATAGGGAAGATGGAAGTGAACCCTGACCCCTAATTACAGGATCAAGACAGAGCACTAGGGCCATTTTGTCATGACTATGAAAGTTTCCTTGGCCTTATCTAGGTCTGAACTACTCAAAATGGCACATACCCTACCCACTGTTGTTTTTTTTTTTTTTTAATAGTAATTGTTTGCAGTACATAATGATTTGCTTTCAAGACTGTGAGCAGAGTACGGGTTCTCTATTCTGGGCCAGAATTCTTATAACTATTTGTAACCCTTCATGTCACTCACTTTGACTCTCCAAGTTTCCATCTCTTCAAACATGAATACTTTTAAGTAGCATAATCAAGGTAACAATTTATTTATGAATCATCATTCAAGCATAGATCCAGCTACTCCAAGGTGTAGAGTCATTAATAGTAATAATAAATAGCCAACACAAACACCTATGTGTATCTATCTTGTCATTTAATGCTTGCAAAAACCTTGTAAGATAAGTATAGTCTTATTATCTCTATATTCCAGATAAGGAAGTTGAAATACAAAGAGGCAAAATAAAGAATATAGAATTATTCAATGAGAATAAGTTGAAGGAATTGATGGAGCATAAGTCTACTTGAAAGCACCATTCATTTGCTGGGAATTTGGCTGGGACAATTGCAAGCTCTGAGCTCTCATCTCTGGAGGCTTCCTGCATCAGGCAGCACTCCTGGAAGCGACAACCTTAAAGATACTCTTTCTACTGAATCTCTTTTATGAGCCCAAACTTTCTCACATATTTTGTCATTTCACTCTTTTGATGTCCTCTGAGAATGATGGGCCTATGGCTATTTCCATTTTATGGATGAAGCACTTGAGGTCAGACAGAATTATTAAGTTCACATAAGTATCCCCAAAGGCTTCATAATCTAGGCAGGGAGACAAATGCATTTTTAAAAAAATGAATAGCTGCAATCCAACTAATAACTAAGCCCTGTGAGTGTATCCCAGAGCAAAGTATTGACTCATCCTGACAAAGCCATGCTGTGGTAGGAGGGTGTAGAAAAAGGGTATGGAAAAGTGCCACAGAGTAGTATTTGCGCTGCGTTGCAAGGAAAAGGAGGTATCCTCGCAGGTGCGGAGAGTAGGAGAGGGCATTCAAAGCAGACCAGGAGCAATGGTTCTGTGTACTAGTAGTAGATATAAGTTGGACTATTCTGGAAATATGTACTGCCAAATGTGGCAAGAGCCTTGGGTACTAGAAGGAGCTGTGAGAGTAGGGAATGACTCAGGATCAGATTCTGGAGGACCTGAAATTGCTGCTAAAGAGCTTGGATGGTATCCCAGAAATGACAGGAAACTTATCAAGCCCTGGAAGATGGAGGTGAGATTTACACTGGCATCATCTGTACAGAGAAAGTGGGAGCACAGAGGGAGAGGAGAAGATAAAAACAAGAAACACATAAGGGGTCCAATGAAAAAGTCTTTGTGATGTCTTACAGTGTGCATAGAGTGACTACAGGGTTAGGGCTTCGAAACTGACTCTCTAATTTCCATACTGGAAGATTGGGTTGGTGAGTGGTGACATTCTTCAAAGTAAGGGGGGACAATTTGGGTGAAGGAGGCATATATATATATTTTCTTAATCTTAATATATATATATATATATATTTAATTATTTATATAGATTCATTTAATCTTCATCACAAACCTCTGAGATAATTAAGAAGTGATGCATCCCCTATGTAGAGCTGGGATCTGAACTCAGGTCATAGGACTTCCATCTGATGTGATTTCACCACTCAATTCTGTAGCCTTTCTGCAATAACAGATGGCATTGGTGAGGCCTTACTGTCAGTTACCTTGTTTGCAATGCCTAATGTGGTCCTTATCACAACTTTATAACAGAAAAGAAAGCGGTGACATAGGGGGCACATGCAAGTTTCTTAACTCACCCAAGTTGGAATGACAAGTATTTTCACACGGCCGCAGTGCATGTAATGATTTTGCTGTGCTGTCTCTGTAAGTGTAATCCTAGCTGAACTGATAAGCAGGTAGTTACAAAGCAATATTTCTAAGAATATTGTTGCTATATTTCTTAGATCCAAGCTTCACCAGGCCAGCACCCAGATGGAGGTCTTCCACTAAGGCTGAGGCACAGGGTCGAGCCTGGCTGTCTCCTTCCCCAACTTGCACACTTCTACAGCTGACCCTCGTGAGGCAGGGTGGACATCAAAGGCTGAGGGCACTGGGAGAGGACTGCAGCCCCTTCATTGGTCAGGCCCCATCAAAGGCGCCTGTGCCAGGCTCTGCTCCACTCCAAACCCGGGCAGATCAAAGAGCCCTGTACAGAAGTTGGGTTTCTGGGCAGCCCCAATTCTGATCATCAATTGTCACTTTGGCAGTGACAGCAGAGTCCAACATGACAAGACTGCCACAGCCAAGGCTCCTGGGGTGGACATCAGAGCAGTAGCTCCAAAGGCCAGGAAGCTGCCTGAGGCCCCTCTGGGCCTTGACCCCTGATGGGAAGAGAAGGAAGAATTAGACAGGCCCCTGAGGAAAGTGTTTGGAGTAGAATCACTGAAGGAAAGTTGCTGCAGGCGAGAAACCTGACTCTGGCATTGATGTTCCTGCCACTGAACCATGAGATCTGATTACTTCATGTAGCTGGGAAGAACTCTTAATATTTGTACATATGTTCGCTCTTACACACACACACATACTTCTAGCCCTAAATATACACACTAGAATTAGCTGCCCTGATGTATAGAAACATACCCTTACACATGCAGATTCTTACATAAACACAAACAGAATTATTCATGCACACATTCCCCTTGAATGCTTGTCATATTTGCCTACAAGCGTGTATGTACACTTTTGCACATAGCGCTGTACAACCTAGAGATGCAAATACCTCACCACACATGCACGCATGCATATGCATTCGGTGAGCATATCCTCTTTATGATGCATTCTGGCAGCTTCTAGGGCCCAAATCCAATATTTCTTCCTCAGAGGGGTTAGAATCATCCTCATAAATACGCTTTAAGTGCAGCAATGGCCTGATCCACAGATCCTGATGCCAGCAATTCTCCAGCTCCTTCGTAAAAAAATTTAGAGGAAATGTCCAAAAATGTACCAAACAGGATTTATGTTAGCTCATGGAAGGGACTTCCTGCCAATAAGAGCTATTAAAAATATCAGCACATTCGACTTCTGTTCATTGAGGAATATTCAGGTGCCAGAAATCTGAACCAATTGGAATATTAATTTTGCTTCAGAAAATAGTTATATGCTTTGAATCAATAGATTTTTAAACAATATAACAGACTAGTTGTAAATCAGAGGAATTTATTATAATTTGGGGATCTGAAGACATTTTAGCCTAAAAGGCAATTAATATAAAAATTTGTTTAGTTTAAATTTAACCAATGAGCATAATTACAGAAGTTTTTGGACTAGAGTTTGGGTCCTGTTCAAACCTCTTCTCTTTCATGACCAAAATCACATGCATGAGAAAAGTAGCAAAGGGTCCTTTAAAACCAATCCAGTCCATGTTCCTTCTCCTCTGAGAAGTCCTCTTGTTTCTTCCCTGATGAGACTTGAGAGAGGACTCGGTATGCACAGGGTAGCCTGCCACCCAGAGCTTGCTGAAGATCGGGGCTGCTGGGAATACTGGTGACTTTCTCCAGGACTCACCTTCAGAAGGAAGCCACCTCTCCACGGTTATGCCTGGTCTCCAGGGGCAGCGTGCCTGTGATAATTGGCTGATATGAGGTCTGCCATTTTGGGGACTACAACTATTCTGCTCCCAAGCTTCCTGCAGGGACAGCCGAGGCCTCTGTCATGACTGTACCACAGCACAACTCTGGCTTTCCTCTCACCCTGCTCAGTGTTGTTCCTGAGGGTGCTGCAGACCCTGGCAAATTGTCTGCACCCTCTTCTCACAGACGAAGAAACCGTCTCAAGAACAACTATCCAGAGCAGCATCTTGGTTCTGTGTGCCCTTGTTCTGGTGTCTTCCTGACTCTGTCTCACAGCCCATACCCAAACATAAGCAAAGGTATTAAAGACAGATTCCAAATCAAATCAGCCCTCATCATTTCCACGGCTATGGCTCTGTAGAAGCCATGGTTACCTCTGCCCTGGCCATCAGCGGCGGTGTCCACACTGGCCGCCATACTTCACTCTTGGTCTCTGGAGTCTCATCTCCATAGTGATGAGACTGATTCTGTCATAACATAATTTAGTCACAGTATTTCTTCGCTCAGACTCTTTCAGTGAATTCTTACTGCATTAAAAATGATCCAAAGCCCTTAGTACATCTACTGGGCCTTGGTCCTGTATGACCAGTCACTCTCCTCCCTCCTAGACCTTCCTCTTTTGCCTGTTCCTCCACCATTTATTTTCCTCCTGCCACTCCATGGATACTGTGCCTGCATCAGTCTTTGCCCTTGATTCCCCACCTCCCTGGTAGACAGAGACAGCTTTCTCACTTCTGTTGATTCTCTCCCAAATGCTATCTTATCTAAGAGGCTTTCCCAAGTCCTTGTCTGAAATGCTACAATCCCATCCCTGCCATTCTGCTCCCTTTTGCTGCTGACATTTCTTCTCAGCCCTTATCACCACCTAACATATCATGCACTAATTTATTATCTGGGTCTGCCAAACACAAGTGCCTGGGCTGTGACATGCTTCTTTCTATTCCTCTGGTACCAGCCTCTGAGTAGACGGGTAGTTATTGCAGAAAAACAAAGAGAAAAAAAGTTTGTTAATCATTAGTTTAATAAGAAACTTCCTATTCTAAACAATAGATTACGAAAAATGTTTATGGAAAATATAAAGTTCAACAGAACTAGAAGAATCAGCAGAGTAAGAGCAGAAGATGATGAGGTAGATACCTCTGTGTGTCTCCGAGAGGGGTTTGGGCCCTAACTCTCTGCTGAGCCTAGGCATGTGGAGGGGATCAGAGTTCTCCCCTCTAGTTTTAGGATCTCAAAACAAAGAATCCTGTGCTCCACTTCCCATTTTAGGCTTGGCTCAATGGCAATGTCTCCGAATTCTGTTATACACCAGAAAAGGAACAGGAATTTTGAGTGCTGTGGGACATGTAAGCATTAGGACCTAATTTGTATCCTGTAAATTTGCCACAGAGTAAGACTAAAGGATCCTCAAAAGGTAGAGTCTGTACCTTACTGTCTAGATAGTAAAATGACCACAAGGTCAATCTGTGTACCAGTGATCAGATGCTGGCTGGGTCCTGGATGTCAAAGTGTGACTAGATGACGGGTACTGCCACCTCCCCCAGCTCTCACCCTGTCCCTATCCCATGACTTTATGTTATAGAGCTTTCCCCATGTATGGCTCAACTGCCTCCATGAAGATAAGGAATAGAGGAAGAGATCCCCAAATGAAGATCACATTTCTGTTAACAGAAGACTTGGATTCCAGTCTATCAAAAAGAAATTGCACTTTTTGCACATCTGATCCTGTGAGTGAGAGATTATACCAGCTATCAAAAGCTACTACAGAAGCATATTGACTGACCTCTCTGCTTCTACTTCCAGCCCCTCCAGTACTCTCCAGGGACTGGGGACAATTCTAGGGCATGGATATGACCATGTTTCTATGCCAAGTAGGCAGATCTGAGTCTACAGTCTGGCTTTACCATATGCCAGTGGCATGACTTTAGACAAGTCACTCACCCTTAGCGTTGTCTGCCTCACACCATTATGAAATGGAATAACCCCAGGGCACTGCACTGAATGTCATTAGGATTAAGTGAAGTGATACAGGTGATGGCCCAGATTAAATGTTCAGTTAATACTGGGCAGTCCCTAGTGTGTCAAGTTGTCTCTCACCTCCTGGGCTTCCTTTGAATATGCTTCTCCTCTCCCTCATCCCCAAAGGAAACCTCTCTGTCAATTTATTCTTTGAGGATTAGGATCTGGGTTGTTCTCCTCTGTCCCTGCCCCATGCGAAGTTTAGGGGTTTCGCAGTGGTGTACCTTCAGTCCTCCAAGCTCAGCCTGATGATAGCTTGTCCACGGTCTTCAAAGACCAGAAGTAACGCTTGATCTCTCAGCCCCCTTATAACCTTGAGCTTCCTGAACCCAGAGGGCCCAAGGGGCAAGAGAAAGCTCTCCTTAAAGGCAGCGTGAGAGAGGAGAGGTGAGAGGTCACACTGAGGAAGAAGAGTGCTTGCCATCTTGCCCATGGCTCCTGTGAGAGTCTTCCTCCCTGACCCATGGGCCAAGGGCTGCCTGGCATCCCAGCATGCTGGGACACGGGGTTTTCAGGTCAACTTTCATCTTCACACATGGTGTTTGTCCCTTTGATCCTTGAGTAGATCAAACAAAGCTCACTAATCAATGGCTTCCCTGCTTGCCTTTCAGAGCTGATCATCAAACACAGTCTGCATCTTGCCCTGCTTCCCTCTCACCCTCCCTGCTTTCCAGCCAGAAGCATTCGCTCCCAGGCCCAGCCTGTGGCCCACCTATCACTGCAACCCAGACAGTGCAGGAGTAAATGTCTATTTTTCATTCACATCCACATAGGGAAATTTCAGGATGCATTCTCAGAGGCATCCTGGTTACTAACTTCTTGCCTAGGCCCTTGGGCCAGGTGATTGAAGACGACACCATGATGACTTCATAGTGGCCTGGGAATCACCTATCACAAAAGAAGCAGGAGAAGGATAAACAGGGCCAGCCAGCAAAGATGAATCTTTCAGAGCTCATTTCTCAGACTTTGTAATTGGAAGGTTATTTTGCTGTACCTCACAATTTTGAAGTGAGGTTCAAGAAATAGATGGCAGACTTCTAGAAATAGAAATTAGAAATAGATTACATAATAGATGGCAGACTTCACAAGGAAGTGTGGGATTCTAAATAGACAGATGTTCCCTGATTTACACTGGAGCTATGTCCAGAAGAAGTCATTGTAAGTTGAAAATATTTTAAGTCAAAAATGCATTTGACACAGTTAACCTACCTGGTGCCATAGCTGAGCAACCGTACTCTGTACAGCACCAGCTGTTCAACCATGCTCACAGGCTGACTGAAATGTGTGGCTCACTACCACTACCCAGCATCACGAAAGCATCACACTACGTATTTCTAACACTGGAAAAACTCAAACTACAAATTTTGAAGTACAGTGTCTACTGAATGTGGACCGCTTTTGTACCATCATAAAGTCAAAGAGCTCTTAGGCCAAAACATTGTAAATTGAAGACCTGTATTAAGTTCATCTGGTGCTTCTAGTCCTTATACTCTGGCAATGCTTCTGGAAGAATCAATCTTCCTGGTTTGCTCAGGACAGAGAGATTTTCTGGGAGGCAGAAACGCCCACCCTAAGACCAGGGGGATGCCAGTAACCCTGAATAAGCTGATCGCCCTCCCTGGAAGTAGCACTTACAAGCACCTGTTATGTGCTGACATGGTTCTCCAGTGTTTGTTTGTTGAAGTCCTAATCCAGCACCTCAGAATGTGAACTGATTTGGAGACAGAACCTCTAGAAGGATTTAGTTAAAATCGGGCTAATGGGGGACCCTAATACACTCTGACAGATAGGTTGGTAAGAAAAGGAAGTTTGGTGACAAAAAGAGACAGCAGGGATGAATACACAGAGAAAGGACCGCACGAGGTCACAGGAAGAAGACACCTGCAAGCTAAGGGGAGGCCTCAGAAATAACCATCCCTTCCAACACCTTGATCTTAAACTTCT